ATTGTTTGAGATAAGAGTTTGATTCTTCAAGAGATGCTACTGTACAATTTTAAACCAAATAACTGAAGCGGCACAATACTTACCTGAAAAGCACACTCTGCAAAGTCATTGATTCTTTAAGATAAGGAAGGATTGATGGTTTAGTGGTAGAATTCTCAAATGCCATGTACCAGGCCTTGCACAATGCACAACTGAGTTCTGAATATTAATCCTTCAATCACAGAACTTCAAAAGCCTGATCAATTCTGCAGATTGGTTAGCTGCAAATCACACTCTGAGAAATCATTTGAACTTGAAGGTAAGCATTGGTGGTTCAGTGGTAGAATTCTAGCTTGCCATGTTGGAGGCCTGGGTTCGATTTCCAGCCAAGCGCAATGCGAATTTTGGACATTGAGCCCTCTCGGCAAGAAATTGACATGCTTTATCAATTCTGCCCAAACTAGGGTTTTTGGACAAACTCCATGCTGCTAAAATATACAAGAGATGCTACTTTACAATTTTAAACCACATGGCTGAATCAGCACAATACTTACCTGAAAAGCTCACTCTTGCGTTGTCATTGATTGTTTGAGATAAGAGTTTGATTCTTCAAGAGATGCTACTGTACAATTTTAAACCAAATAGCTGAAGCGGCACAATACTTACCTGAAAAGCACACTCTGCAAAGTCATTGATTCTTTAAGATAAGGAAGGATTGATTGTTTAGTGGTAGAATTCTCAAATGCCATGTACAAGGCCTTGCACAATGCACAACTGAGTTCTGAATATTAATCCTTCACTCACAGAACTTCAAAAGCCTGATCAATTCTGCAGTTTGGTTAGCTGCAAATCACACTCTGAGAAGTCTTTTGAACTTGAAGGTAAGCATTGGTGTTTCAGTGGTAGAATTCTAGATTGCCATGTTGGAGACCTGGGTTCAATTCCCAGCCAATGCACAAGTGAATCTTGAATATTTAGTCTTCACTCACAGAACTTCATTAAACTTATCAATTCTGCAGTATGGTTAGCTGCAAATCACACTCTGTGAAGTCCTTTGAACTTAAAGACAAGCATTGGTGTTTCAGTGGTAGAATTCTAGCTTGCCATGTTGGAGACCTGGGTTCAATTCCCAGCCAATGCACAAATGAATTTTGAACATTGAGCCTTCTGGCAAAGAAATTGACATGCTTTATCAATTCTGCCCAAACTAGGGTGGTGGACAAACCCCATGCTGCTGAAATATACAAGAGATGCTACTTTACAATTTTAAACCACATGGCTGAATCAGCACAATACTTACCTGAAAAGCTCACTCTGCGTTGTCATTGATTGTTTGAGATAAGAGTTTGATTCTTCAAGAGATGCTACTGTACAATTTTAAACCAAATAGCTGAAGCGGCACAATACTTACCTGAAAAGCACACTCTGCAAAGTCATTGATTCTTTAAGATAAGGAAGGATTGATGGTTTAGTGGTAGAATTCTCAAATGCCATGTACCAGGCCTTGCACAATGCACAACTGAGTTCTGAATATTAATCCTTCACTCACAGAACTTCAAAAGCCTGATCAATTCTGCAGTTTGGTTAGCTGCAAATCACACTCTGAGAAGTCGTTTGAGCTTGAAGGTAAGCATTGGTGGTTTAGTGGTAGAATTCTAGCTTGCCATGTTGGAGGCCTGGGTTCGATTCCCAGCCAATGCACAAGTGAATTTTGAACATTGAGCCTTCTGGCAAAGAAATTGACATGCTTTATCAATTCTGCCCAAACTAGGGTTTTGGACAAACTCCATGCTGCTGAAATATACAAGAGATGCTACTTTACAATTTTAAACCACATGGCTGAATCAGCACAATACTTACCTGAAAAGCTCACTCTTGCGTCTCATTGATTGTTTGAGATAAGAGTTTGATTCCGATGCAACTGTAATTTTAACAAATAGTGTGCGCACAATACTTACCTGAAAAGCACTCTGCGTTGTCATTGATTGTTTGAGATAGAGTTTGATTCTTCAAGAGATGCTACTGTACAATTTTAAACCAAATAGCTGAAGCGGCACAATACTTACCTGAAAAGCACACTCTGCAAAGTCATTGATTCTTTAAGATAAGGAAGGATTGATGGTTTAGTGGTAGAATTCTCAAATGCCATGTACCAGGCCTTGCACAATGCACAACTGAGTTCTGAATATTAATCCTTCAATCACAGAACTTCAAAAGCCTGATCAATTCTGCAGATTGGTTAGCTGCAAATCACACTCTGAGAAATCGTTTGAACTTGAAGGTAAGCATTGGTGGTTCAGTGGTAGAATTCTAGCTTGCCATGTTGGAGGCCGGGGTTTCGATTCCCAGCCAATGCACAAGCGAATTTTGAACATTGAGCCTTCTCGCAAAGAAATTGACATGCTTTTACCAATTCTGCCCAAACTAGGGTTTTGGACAAACTCCATGCTGCTAAAATATACAAGAGATGCTACTTTACAATTTTAAACCACATGGCTGAATCAGCACAATACTTACCTGAAAAGCTCACTCTGGTTGTCATTGATTGTTTGAGATAAGAGTTTGATTCTTCAAGAGATGCAACTGTACAATTTTAAACCAAATAGTTGCGCACAATACTTACCTGAAAAGACTCTGCGTTGTCATTGATTGTTTGAGATAAGAGTTTGATTCTTCAAGAGATGCTACTGTACAATTTTAAACCAAATAGCTGAAGCGGCACAATACTTACCTGAAAAGCACACTCTGCAAAGTCATTGATTCTTTAAGATAAGGAAGGATTGATGGTTTAGTGGTAGAATTCTCAAATGCCATGTACCAGGCCTTGCACAATGCACAACTGAGTTCTGAATATTAATCCTTCACTCACAGAACTTTCAAAAGCCTGATCAATTCTGCAGTTTGGTTAGCTGCAAATCACACTCTGAGAAGTCTTTTGAACTTGAAGGTAAGCATTGGTGTTTCAGTGGTAGAATTCTAGCTTGCCATGTTGGAGACCTGGGTTTGATTCCCAGCCAAATGCAGCAAATTTTGAACATTGAGCCTTCTCGCAAAGAAATTGACATGCTTTATCAATTCTGCCCAAACTAGGGTGGTGGACAAACTCTATGCTGCTGAAATATACAAGAGATGCTACTTTACAATTTTAAACCACATGGCTGAATCAGCACAATACTTAACTGAAAAGCTCACTCTGCGTTGTCATTGATTGTTTGAATAAGAGTTTGATTCTTCAAGAGATGCTACTGTACAATTTTAAACCAAATAGCTGTTGCGGCACAATACTTACCTGAAAAGCTCACTCTGCGTTGTCATTGATTGTTTGAGATAAGAGTTTGATTCTTCAAGAGATGCTACTGTACAATTTTAAACCAAATAGCTGAAGCGGCACAATACTTACCTGAAAAGCACACTCTGCAAAGTCATTGATTCTTTAAGATAAGGAAGGATTGATGGTTTAGTGGTAGAATTCTCAAATGCCATGTACCAGGCCGCGTACAATGCACAACTGAGTTCTGAATATTAATCCTTCAATCACAGAACTTCAAAAGCCTGATCAATTCTGCAGATTGGTTAGCTGCAAATCACACTCTGAGAAATCGTTTGAACTTGAAGGTAAGCATTGGTGGTTCAGTGGTAGAATTCTAGCTTTCCATGTTGGAGCTGCCGGGTTCGATTCCCAGCCAATGCACAAGGAATTTTGAACATTGAGCCTTCTCGCAAAGAAATTGACATGCTTTGTCAATTCTGCCCAAACTAGGGTTTTCGGACAAACTCCATGCTGCTGAAATATACAAGAGATGCTACTTTACAATTTTAAACCACATGGCTGAATCAGCACAATACTTACCTGAAAAGCTCACTCTGCGTTGTCATTGATTGTTTGAGATAAGAGTTTGATTCTTCAAGAGATGCTACTGTACAATTTTAAACCAAATAGCTGAAGCGGCACAATACTTACCTGAAAAGCACACTCTGCAAAGTCATTGATTCTTTAAGATAAGGAAGGATTGATGGTTTAGTGGTAGAATTCTCAAATGCCATGTACCAGGCCTTGCACAATGCACAACTGAGTTCTGAATATTAATCCTTCACTCACAGAACTTCAAAAGCCTGATCAATTCTGCAGATTGGTTAGCTGCAAATCACACTCTGAGAAATCGTTTCGAACTTGAAGGTAAGCATTGGTGGTTCAGTGGTAGAATTCTAGCATGCCATGTTGGAGGCCTGGGTTCGATTCCCAGCCAATGCACAAGTGTTTAATATTTATCTTACTCACAGAACTTCATTAAACTTATCAATTCTGCAGTATGGTTAGCTGCAAATCACACTCTGTGAAGTCCTTTGAACTTAAAGACAAGCATTGGTGGTTCAGTGGTAGAATTCTAGCTTGCCATGTTGGAGACCTGGGTTCGATTCCCAGCCAACGCACAAGTAAATTTTGAACATTCAGCCTTCTCGCAAAGAAATTGTCAAGCTTTATCAATTCTGCCCAAACTAGGGTGGTGGACAAACTCCATGCTGCTGAAATATACAAGAGATGCTACTTTACAATTTTAAACCACATGGCTGAATCAGCACAATACTTACCTGAAAAGCTCACTCTGCGTTGTCATTGATTGTTTGAGATAAGAGTTTGATTCTCAAAATCTACTGTACAATTTAAACCAAATAGCTGTTGCGCACAATACTTACCGAAAAGACTCTGCGTTGTCATTGATTGTTTGAGATAAGAGTTTGATTCTTCAAGAGATGCTACTGTACAATTTTAAACCAAATAGCTGAAGCGGCACAATACTTACCTGAAAAGCACACTCTGCAAAGTCATTGATTCTTTAAGATAAGGAAGGATTGATTGTTTAGTGGTAGAATTCTCAAATGCCATGTACCAGGCCTTGCACAATGCACAACTGAGTTCTGAATATTAATCCTTCAATCACAGAACTTCAAAAGCCTGATCAATTCTGCAGATTGGTTAGCTGCAAATCACACTCTGAGAAATCGTTTGAACTTGAAGGTAAGCGTTGGTGGTTCAGTGGTAGAATTCTAGCTTTCCATGTTGGATGCCTGGGTTCGATTCCCAGCCAATGCACAAGCGAATTTTGGACATTGAGCCTTCTCGCAAAGAAATTGACATGCTTTGTCAATTCTGCCCAAACTAGGGTTTCGGACAAACTCCATGCTGCTAAAATATACAAGAGATGCTACTTCACAATTTTAAACCACATGGCTGAATCAGCACAATACTTACCTGAAAAGCTCACTCTGCGTTGTCATTGATTGTTTGAGATAAGAGTTTGATTCTTCAAGAGATGCTACTGTACAATTTTAAACCAAATAGCTGAAGCGGCACAATACTTACCTGAAAAGCACACTCTGCAAAGTCATTGATTCTTTTAGATAAGGAAGGATTGATTGTTTAGTGGTAGAATTCTCAAATGCCATGTACAAGGCCTTGCACAATGCACAACTGAGTTCTGAATATTAATCCTTCACTCACAGAACTTCAAAAGCCTGATCAATTCTGCAGATTGGTTAGCTGCAAATCACACTCTGAGAAATCGTTCGAACTTGAAGGTAAGCATTGGTGGTTCAGTGGTAGAATTCTAGCATGCCATGTTGGAGGCCTGGGTTCGATTCCCAGCCAATGCACAAGTGGATCTTGAATATTTAGTCTTCACTCACAGAACTTCATTAAACTTATCAATTCTGCAGTATGGTTAGCTGCAAATCACACTCTGTGAAGTCCTTTGAACTTAAAGACAAGCATTGGTGGTTCAGTGGTAGAATTCTAGCTTGCCATGTTGGAGACCTGGGTTCGATTCCCAGCCAACGCACAAAGTAATTTTGAACATTGAGCCTTCGCAAAGAAATTGACAGCTTTATCAATTCTGCCCAAACTAGGGTGGTGGACAAACTCCATGCTGCTGAAATATACAAGAGATGCTACTTTACAATTTTAAACCACATGGCTGAATCAGCACAATACTTACCTGAAAAGCTCACTCTGCGTTGTCATTGATTGTTTGAGATAAGAGTTTGATTCTTCAAGAGATGCTACTGTACAATTTTAAACCAAATAGCTGAAGCGGCACAATACTTACCTGAAAAGCACACTCTGCAAAGTCATTGATTCTTTAAGATAAGGAAGGATTGATGGTTTAGTGGTAGAATTCTCAAATGCCATGTACCAGGGCCTTGCAGCAACGCACAACTGAGTTCTGAATGTTAATCCTTCAATCACAGAACTTCAAAAGCCTGATCAATTCTGCAGATTGGTTAGCTGCAAATCACACTCTGAGAAATCGTTTGAACTTGAAGGTAAGCATTGGTGGTTCAGTGGTAGAATTCTAGCTTGCCATGTTGGAGGCCTGGGTTCGATTCCCAGCCAATGCACAAGCGAATTTTGAACATTGAGCCTTCTGGCAAAGAAATTGACATGCTTTATCAATTCTGCCCAAACTAGGGTGGTGGACAAACCCCATGCTGCTGAAATATACAAGAGATGCTACTTTACAATTTTAAACCACATGGCTGAATCAGCACAATACTTACCTGAAAAGCTCACTCTGCGTTGTCATTAATTGTTTGAGATAAGAGTTTGATTCTTCAAGAGATGCAACTGTACAATTTTAAACCAAATAGCTGTTGCGGCACAATACTTACCTGAAAAGCTCACTCTGCGTTGTCATTGATTGTTTGAGATAAGAGTTTGATTCTTCAAGAGATGCTACTGTACAATTTTAAACCAAATAGCTGAAGCGGCACAATACTTACCTGAAAAGCACACTCTGCAAAGTCATTGATTCTTTAAGATAAGGAAGGATTGATGGTTTAGTGGTAGAATTCTCAAATGCCATGTACCAGGCCTTGCACAATGCACAACTGAGTTCTGAATATTAATCCTTCACTCACAGAACTTCAAAAGCCTGATCAATTCTGCAGTTTGGTTAGCTGCAAATCACACTCTGAGAAGTCTTTTGAACTTGAAGGTAAGCATTGGTGTTTCAGTGGTAGAATTCTAGCTTGCCATGTTGGAGACCTGGGTTCAATTCCCAGCCAATGCACAAGTGAATCTTGAATATTTAGTCTTCACTCACAGAACTTCATTAAACTTATCAATTCTGCAGTATGGTTAGCTGCAAATCACACTCTGTGAAGTCCTTTGAACTTAAAGACAAGCATTGGTGGTTCAGTGGTAGAATTCTAGCTTGCCATGTTGGAGACCTGGGTTCGATTCCCAGCCAATGCACAAGCGAATTTTGAACATTGAGCCTTCTGGCAAAGAAATTGACATGCTTTATCAATTCTGCCCAAACTAGGGTGGTGGACAAACCCCATGCTGCTGAAATATACAAGAGATGCTACTTTACAATTTTAAACCACATGGCTGAATCAGCACAATACTTACCTGAAAAGCTCACTCTGCGTTGTCATTGATTGTTTGAGATAAGAGTTTGATTCTTCAAGAGATGCTACTGTACAATTTTAAACCAAATAGCTGAAGCGGCACAATACTTACCTGAAAAGCACACTCTGCAAAGTCATTGATTCTTTAAGATAAGGAAGGATTGATGGTTTAGTGGTAGAATTCTCAAATGCCATGTACAAGGCCTTGCACAATGCACAACTGAGTTCTGAATATTAATCCTTCACTCACAGAACTTCAAAAGCCTGATCAATTCTGCAGTTTGGTTAGCTGCAAATCACACTCTGAGAAGTCTTTTGAACTTGAAGGTAAGCATTGGTGTTTCAGTGGTAGAATTCTAGCTTGCCATGTTGGAGACCTGGGTTTGATTCCCAGCCAACGCACAAGCAAATTTTGAACATTCAGCCTTCTCGCAAAGAAATTGACAAGCTTTATCAATTCTGCCCAAACTAGGGTGGTGGACAAACTCTATGCTGCTGAAATATACAAGAGATGCTACTTTACAATTTTAAACCACATGGCTGAATCAGCACAATACTTAACTGAAAAGCTCACTCTGCGTTGTCATTGATTGTTTGAGATAAGAGTTTGATTCTTCAAGAGATGCTACTGTACAATTTTAAACCAAATAGCTGAAGCGGCACAATACTTACCTGAAAAGCACACTCTGCCAAGTCATTGATTCTTTAAGATAAGGAAGGATTGATGGTTTAGTGGTAGAATTCTCAAATGCCATGTACCAGGGCTTGCACAATGCACAACTGAGTTCTGAATGTTAATCCTTCAATCACAGAACTTCAAAAGCCTGATCAATTCTGCAGATTGGTTAGCTGCAAATCACACTCTGAGAAATCGTTTGAACTTGAAGGTAAGCATTGGTGGTTCAGTGGTAGAATTCTAGCTTGCCATGTTGGAGGCCTGGGTTCGATTCCCAGCCAATGCACAAGCAAATTTTGAACATTGAGCCTTCTCGCAAAGAAATTGACATGCTTTATCAATTCTGCCCAAACTAGGGTTTTGGACAAACTCCATGCTGCTGAAATATACAGGAGATGCTACTTTACAATTTTAAACCACATGGCTGAATCAGCACAATACTTACCTGAAAAGCTCACTCTGCGTTGTCATTGATTGTTTGAGATAAGAGTTTGATTCTTCAAGAGATGCTACTGTACAATTTTAAACCAAATAGCTGATGCGGCACAATACTTACCTGAAAAGCACACTCTGCGTTGTCATTGATTGTTTGAGATAAGAGTTTGATTCTTCAAGAGATGCTACTGTACAATTTTAAACCAAATAACTGAAGCGGCACAATACTTACCTGAAAAGCACACTCTGCAAAGTCATTGATTCTTTAAGATAAGGAAGGATTGATGGTTTAGTGGTAGAATTCTCAAATGCCATGTACCAGGCCTTGCACAATGCACAACTGAGTTCTGAATATTAATCCTTCACTCACAGAACTTCAAAAGCCTGATCAATTCTGCAGTTTGGTTAGCTGCAAATCACACTCTGAGAAGTCTTTTGAACTTGAAGGTAAGCATTGGTGTTTCAGTGGTAGAATTCTAGCTTGCCATGTTGGAGACCTGGGTTTGATTCCCAGCCAACGCACAAGCAAATTTTGAACATTCAGCCTTCTCGCAAAGAAATTGACAAGCTTTATCAATTCTGCCCAAACTAGGGTGGTGGACAAACTCTATGCTGCTGAAATATACAAGAGATGCTACTTTACAATTTTAAACCACATGGCTGAATCAGCACAATACTTAACTGAAAAGCTCACTCTGCGTTGTCATTGATTGTTTGAGATAAGAGTTTGATTCTTCAAGAGATGCTACTGTACAATTTTAAACCAAATAGCTGAAGCGGCACAATACTTACCTGAAAAGCACACTCTGCCAAGTCATTGATTCTTTAAGATAAGGAAGGATTGATGGTTTAGTGGTAGAATTCTCAAATGCCATGTACCAGGGCTTGCACAATGCACAACTGAGTTCTGAATGTTAATCCTTCAATCACAGAACTTCAAAAGCCTGATCAATTCTGCAGATTGGTTAGCTGCAAATCACACTCTGAGAAATCGTTTGAACTTGAAGGTAAGCATTGGTGGTTCGGTGGTAGAATTCTAGCTTGCCATGTTGGAGGCCTGGGTTCGATTCCCAGCCAATGCACAAGCAAATTTTGAACATTGAGCCTTCTTGCAAAGAAATTGACATGCTTTATCAATTCTGCCCAAACTAGGGTTTGGACAAACTCCATGCTGCTGAAATATACAGGAGATGCTACTTTACAATTTTAAACCACATGGCTGAATCAGCACAATACTTACCTGAAAAGCTCACTCTGCGTTGTCATTGATTGTTTGAGATAAGAGTTTGATTCTTCAAGAGGCACTGTACAATTTTAAACCAAATAGCTGTATGCACAATACTTACCTGAAAAGCTCACTCTGCGTTGTCATTGATTGGTTGAGATAAGAGTTTGATTCTTCAAGAGATGCTACTGTACAATTTTAAACCAAATAGCTGAAGCGGCACAATACTTACCTGAAAAGCACACTCTGCAAAGTCATTGATTCTTTAAGATAAGGAAGGATTGATTGTTTAGTGGTAGAATTCTCAAATGCCATGTACCAGGCCTTGCACAATGCACAACTAAGT